TAGCTAACCATCCTGGAGAGTTCTTACGGGACTCTTGGGCTCCCCGTCAACTTCCCCACGGTCTGTACCGTATGAAAGATTTCCCCAACATTTTGCAAATCTGTGGCAGCATTGTAACATCTCCTTATAATTCCTAATGATTGGCGTGAATATTTTGGATATTTGAATATTTTGAAATAGGACTCTCATTGGAAGATATGATCTTACCTTTAAAAAAAGCCTTTCCTTTAAAGTGTCATTAAAGTCTACAGATGAAGGGAGAAATGAGGAACAAATTGTATCTTGGAGAAAAAAAGATCAAAATCACGGTTAATTGCTACTTTTTAATATCCTTTTCATCATCATATAAACTATCCTTTGTGTCTTATATTTTATGTAAGACATTTAAATGCTAGTAAGTCATTCTTTTGATAACTCTAGTTCTCTGAATCTGGGACACCATGGTAAAATAACGCTAAAGGGAAAATAACATTACTTTTGGGAAGCTGATAAATTTCTTTTGCTTACGGACCTAAAAGGGAAAAAAAGATTTAATGTTTTATTAATATACTAGGAATTGCAGAAATCTAACTTCAGAGGGAGGTCGTATGACTCAGAAGAGTTTCTTTGGCTGAGTACATGGAAAAGTTTTTGGACAGGCTTGGAGCAATTTATGGGTTTGTTGATTAGTTGGCTCAGAGTATGTTTTTGTTCGGGGGGATTATATTTTTCCTTAGTACTTTTTTGTACATTTTTGATATAGGTAGGTAAAACACATTAAGGAAAGCAGCAGCTTGTTAGATTTTTATTACTTCAGAACAAAGAATAACATTTGCATAACCGTGTAACAAAGTAGTAATCAATATTTTAATAGATTTTAATCAGACAGCACTGATTATATTTCAGTATATTTATTCAGCTCAAGCTAGTGTTTCAGTAACTATGTGTTTTGGTCTATTTTTGTACATGCTTTTGTGTAAGTAGTGATGTTAACTTTGTAATGTGAACGATTGATAAAAGGAAAGGAGGACACAGATTAAGATTGAGAAAATATGAGAGAAAGTGAAATAATAATTTTGAAACTATTATTCAGAGAAAAATAAAACAAAAAATGTGTGTTTAGCAGTTCAGACAGGCAGTAATGGAAATTATATTGTACAACATGCTACAATATCTTTCAGAGATTAAAGTAGACCAGGATTTCATAACTGTTTAATTGTAAAGCATGTGTGAAATTACACTATATGCAGACAACAGCATTCTAGTTTGCTTGTTTTTTTCTTAGGATATGATACTACTCTATATTTTTAGAGATAGGGTCTCATTTTTCTGTTTACCTTAAGGTTTGTGGAAATCTGGAATACAAAAGTTGTGGGTTTAACACCTTCTTCCAATATAAAAGTTTATGATTTTATTTTAAAAAGCTATAAAAAAGAAAGTGAACAAAATCCTCACTCCATTAATGCCAGTGGTAGATTTATTATTAGCTGTGTCTGACACAGGTAGTGTTTCGCCCTTGGTTTTCGCAGTCACTTACAGAGTCAGGAATCATATTAGAGCAATTATCATTATTAAAATAAGAATAACAAAAAACAGTTTTGATGCCTTCTTGAAAGATAAAATGTTAAATTGCTTTGGAGAAGCAAATCCATATTTCTTTCTTCTAAATCTTTCATCTGAAGTACTGCAAATGTCAATCTGACCTTGTCTGTTCAAATACTTTAATTTCCAAAAGAGTTCGGGCCATCTCCAATCTGGAGAGCAAGGTCTCTCCTTACCATCCTATTATTGAAATCTGGAAGGAAGGAAGAGTTCTGGTCCACTACTAAATAATTAATACTCCACCAGCTATTTTGGTGATCAGCACCTGTTCTGACAGACTGGTTTAGGATGGCTGAATTCTTCAAGCACACTACAGTACGGATACAGGAGAGAGCCAGTGCTAGGATTCTCTGCAGCAACAGTAAATACAATGATTGTAAATACAACCTATAATAGCAGAGATCCTAATATTTTTAAAGCAGATATATTGTGGTTTACAGCAATAACAAAGAACAAGTTTCTACCTAGCCTGCAAGCAACAAGCAAAGGACAAATTAACTTCCTTTCCTAATACTGTCTCGAATGATGGGGCAGCATTTTGTGTCATCTGTTTGGAGAAAGGAGAGATTCTTCCACCCTTCCTTGTCTTACAAGAAAATAAGTTCCTGTTAGAACTGGGAGTAGTTACATCACCTTTTTATTCACAATATATTTGGAGAGTGCAGGACCATCCACTCTGAGATTGACTGCTGTTTTTCTACCATGAAGTAATGAGGATCTGTCCAGCCTTCTTAAAGAGTGGATCTAAGTGGTACACCACAGCTTAGTATAAATTTAGGATAATTAAGAGGAAATATACTTACTAAATGTAATTTTTAGATGACCAAATAACAATAACAATATCCTTTGGTGACTAAATCATACGACTTGACTGAGAGAGGGTAACAGAAAGATTTTGAAAGGGACAAGGGGGAGTGAAATGTACAAGTCCCACCCGAAACCTCTGTTCTGAATCTCCTCACTTTTACTCCTAATCTGTTGCAGATGCCAAAATGCAGGTTACACAGAGGGCCTTCCTGAAAATCAGACCCACATTACTGCATCAGTCTTCTACTCTTTGTTATCTCAAAGATGCATTAAGACTATGCTGACAATTTGCCAGCAGTTCAAAGCTCACATCAAATTTTTATGTATCTTGACATATTTTGTCTAAATATACATGCAGATAATATTGATGATTTGTCTTCTTGGTGCCATTAATTAAAAGGTAACTTCTGGATGCTCGCTTTTAATAATTCTAAATTTCCTGGTAGACTCATCTAATGATAACTCGTTATCTCCGCTAATAGCTTGATAATACCTGTAGCCTAAGCTAATTAGCTTCATGATAAATTTTGTTGAATTACTAATAATAACCCTCAATAAAGTGATTCATGCCAATCTGTATTCATTTTCATATCTTTCCTTTTGACTACAATAACTCTTGTTTGGATAATGCTTTAATTTTGGCATGAACATATGAGCAGTAAATACTCCCATAACAACTTTTGATCTCTTCATCCACCTATAGGCCTGTGTAACCTGGTCTTTTTGGTGTGTCTTTGAAACCTACAGATTATCTTTTAACTCTTTTGCCTTCCAATAGGTAGGTTCCATGTATACACATGCATACTGTCTTCTATTCACATTGCTCAGTTTGCTGGCCCAAGATTTATTTAGTGTATACTATGCCAACTCTATTATTCAAGCCTCAGATTTACTCATTTCCATATTGACATTTCTGTGGCATTCTTCAGTACACTGAGTGCTCTAGGAGCATGAATTAATTTATTTTCACAGCATCATTCTGCTTCTAATATTTGACTAGTTGAAAGTACATTAATGTTTCTTTTTCTGTATAGTCTTGTGTATAATGTCCAAATATCCCAGCACAACCTTTAAAAATTATGCATTTTTTTAACAAAAACACACTTCTCTAAAAAAAAAGGCAGCAAAATTGATCTCTCCCTGTCTCTTTTTATGGACAGGAGAACCAAAACAGATGACAGGGTACCTTGCAAGCTTCTTCAGCTTCTTGATCTATGTGACAGTGTGTCATGCCATGTTTTACATTTCTTACATATTTAAGAACATGCTCCAGTCTTATGAAATTCCCATACTTAAGACATGGAATTGTCAACTTCTTTGTCAATTTATTTGTTACAGTTTGATGCTTATTGAAAGGGCTAAGTTAAATTCAAATGCTAACTCAGGACTAGGAATGCTACTAATTTGAGAAACTGGACATTGACAGAGTGGCCAAGATTTATGTTCAGCAATTAGTGTAACAAAAAAGAAAAAAAAAATCCAAAAAAAGTGATTCTGAACACTGAAATATTTCATTAGCAGAGTGAATTAGTGGGACAGTAGGAAAATTCAGTCATAGGAATGTTTTGGTAGAACTACTCAGAATCACAGTGTTATTCCTTGAATGTATCTATAGCTGCAGTGCCTTCCAGGTATTTAAGTTTGGTCATCTAAATCAAAAGGACCTCTGAAAACCAAACAACAGGTTCTCTCCTTATGCAATACAGTTTTCATCAGCAAGAGTTATGAAGAAGTCACTTATATATTCTTGACTCCCCACTGCAACCTGTACAGAATGTAGAGGAAAAGTAAGTATTAATTCTGTGATTCCCTAGCCTGGGGACAAATCCCAGAATTAGAAATGAGTGAGATTACAATGCCCAACAGAAATAATTGTGGACAAAGCAACAAAGGAATTCTTTACCTTGCCCACAGTGCCTCAGAGAGTCAGAAAAGTCTTACTATTTTCAGAGAGTAAGAATGTTCTTGAGAATATCCGGTCTTTCTACCATCAGAAATTGTCCATGAAACACAGAGAGGAACAGAGGAGATTATAATGACATAACTTGAAGGCCAAGCCTTTGAAATCATAGCCATGTGAGAAAGAATGTGAATCAGAAGGATTCTTTCTTTAATTTTTCTTTTTTTTTTTTTAAAAAAACCTTCCCATAGTCCAGTGGTATGCTTTTTACCATTTAGAATGACTCTGGTAGTTGAGAAATGCAGACTAACCATTTATGAATGATACATCTGCAAGGTGGTTTTGCAAAAGCAAAAAGAACATTTTGTGGCCTAATAATATTCCCCAGCTCTAATTCTTCTGTGAATACATCACTACTAATAACAGCAGCAGCAATGAAAAGGCTTCTGGCTGAAAGATCAAATTTTTATAATATGTGGAAGTTGTATTGTTTTTATAACAATTTAATCTCAAGCATTATCTGTGTACTGGTGAGAGACCCCCACTACCAACAATAGCTTAATTCCCTATATGCAGGATCCACAAGCAGAACACATCTTTATGATGGATTTTAAAAAAATGTATTTTGGTTTTATGAAAGTTCAATTAAACAACATAATTTAATAATAAAACAAAGAATGTTTACTGGCAGTCAGGAAGTCCACATCAGTTCAAAAGCTGTTTCGCTGAGCTGTGTTCAACTTCTCAAAACTTTCAGTTGTTTCGTTATGAGATTTCACCAGACACCCCTGGCTCCAGCACCATGGCACAGAACATGGGGTGCCCAACACCTGCTGCTTTGCACATTTTGGATGCTGCTGCTTAATATCTACCCCTGCTCTTTGCAGAAACTGTTTACAGCTGTTTCAAAGGTTAGTATAGCCTTGTGTATATGTAGTATACACATCTTACTATACACAGCTTAACTTAAGCTGCTCTCTCCCTACCCCTGTCCCTTTTTGCCATGGAAAACTGAAAATTAACTGTAGTGATTTTGCTTTCACCTCACTTCAGTCAGAATGCCTAAAAATCATCGGCAATGGTATTTTAGACTATATTCCTATGTGTTAGCTTTACATCTTGGTGTAACTTCCTACTGCAAAGAATGGCACACAAAGCCCTGGTTGTCCCTGCATGGCAGAGCTGGCATGTCACACACTGATGGCAGAAGGTGCATCTGATTTAATTGGTATTTAAACCTGAAACTCCTGATAGAGACAGAAAAAGCCTTGATCCTGGGAGCTGTGCCTCCCCTTGATGCAGACAGATCTCAGATCTGAAAGGTCATGGACAATTACCCTACCCAGTCCTTGACTCTGAATCTCCAAATAGCAACCAACATAATGCAGGCTCTCCTTTTCCCTCTGACAACTTCCAGGACTTGATTTCAGTGAAATACTTGAGTCCTTGACAATCACTGTGTCATTTTGTGTTGTGATTTCAGCATAATGATGCATCACTCTTCTAAATAAATACAGTGTAATGTCAAATATCTACAAATAAGTAATTCTAGTATTAAAACATTAAAGCCTCCTGCCATCTCAGACTGTTGGATGGACCAGAACCTGTAGGTCAGGGCAGGCAGCTGCCAAGTCTCCTTGGTACTACAGGGCCAACAAGCTCCAGCTGGCACAGAAGTCACTGACCTCCTTGTCCCTGTAGCACCGAGGAGACCCGAAGCAAGCAGGATCCAGACAGAGGTGAGTGGCTGCTGACATTTGGGGAATGCACTGAGGAGGCTTTTTGCTGAACCTTGGACCTGATCATTCGTCTTGTCAGGAAACGGCAGCAGATTAAGACACTGTCTTTGGCACGTGAATCATTGTTGGTGCACCCACAAATAATGACATGGTGGAGCCCATGGAGAAAAATAAAATTATTGAACCCATGTAAGTGGGCTCATTGGTATTCTCTATAGGCGTATTCTCACCCTCATTTTTCACAGGCAAGAAGTTTGGTCATTTATGTGAGAAATGTATTAAATTCTCTGTGCAATACTAGTGATCACTAGTGCTGGTCTGATGAGGGTGGGGCATATTACTAGGCAACACACCCTCTCTTTGGAAGAAGGCTTTGAAGAGATGGGCACAGATGCTTATGAAGCTGGGGTGATGAGTTATTTACAGTGGTAATCAGATTACATCCATGTTAACAACAGAAGAAGAATGTAGCATTATACTGCAATAATGCTAAACAGCATTGCAAACGTGGGACACAGAGAAGCTAATAGTTTGCCTTTCCCTTGTTATTGAATGACATCTACAGTGTAAGAATTCTGGACACAGTGAGTCATAAAAAGAGCATCGGTCAGCATGGTTTTCAGGCTCTTTCCTGTTTCCTGTAATAAGCAGAAGCAGTGATTTGGAAATTTCTGTTTTCCTTTGAGTTGGTAGATATTTTTTCTTAGGTCTTTACAGTTTCACCTTCATTTTCCTCATGCTGTTACTGGTTTCGTTTTTCTCAATATGACGGAATCAAGGATTCCCTTACCTATTTCTCAGTATTGCAGAGATACTGGTATTTCAGCTTCCAATGATGAAAGAGTATTTCATCTTTAATATCCAGATCACTGGGTCATTTGGCTGAATTAATGGAAAACAGAAGTAGATGAATCTGAGCAAGCACAAGAAGCAAGGCAGAAATACATGCAGCAAGTTAACACTCCTTCTAGCATCCATTTCAGGCAGTATATTATCCATATTATCTTCCCACACTTTTTGCTTTGCTTTGACATAGATCGTGACCATCAAATGGTATATGAGGCATATGCTGTAGTTTTTAAGCATAAGCATATGGATACTTATGTAACCATATTTAGTGCTAGTTTGTTTTTTGGCCAAATTTCCCTGAACTTCTGCTGTCCCATTTTTAGTGTATGGCAGAGAGGCATGTAAGAAAAGAAACTTGAATGTATCCTTATTTACACCTCTTAATTTATGGAAAAATAAGAAGTTATTATTGTATTATATGAATAAAACAGTTTGGATTATATGAATTTATCGTTTGTTTGAGAAATTATTTAACAGTGAACTGAAATTAGCTAGTGTGCTTATTTAATTAGTGGGTTAGCAAGTAAGTGCTATCCTCTTGAGGGGAGGGTATACTGTTTAAAAATGCTTGAACTGTCTCTCAATTAAGGTGATGTTACAGCAGCAATGAAAAGGACTATATTCTCTATCCTACAAGCTCAGAATTCTTTTGTTTCTGCTTTTAGTCCAAATTCCATTTTGAAAAGAGGAATATCTCCCACTATTAGAACGTCAAGAATAAAATTCATGCATATATAAACCAATTTCATAATTGTTCAAGCTTTTCACCAATACTTTTCCCCCACAATCTGCAAAAACAAGTGATTTGTTAGCAAAAAAGGCACTAAGCCTTTTTTGAACTGAACATGTTCAAACTGAATCTTTTATGAAGAGGTAATTATTTGCATAACATCAGATATGCTGATTAATTACTTCAATGTGCATCTTATGATCTGAAGTGACCTGACCCTTACAAGAAAATGTTTCTATGCAGAAATCAGATTGAAGTAAATAAGGTATACAGCATATTTTATACAGAAATAGCCTAAAACTGAATTGTTAGTTCATTGTATTTGAATAAACTAAGCATTTTGGTAGTCCTTGAGAGAAAATGTAGTAATTTATTTATTTATCTTCTGTTCTTTTCTTATGTAAAAGTGGCTAGCAATTATGTCTTTGAATAAAACTTGTTTTTCTCTCTGAGCAGTGCTTAGAGATCTGGTGCACTCAGTTTTTTAGGAACACTAATATAGCTTTTGACAGAAGCACAAAATGATGACTCAGCACATGGCAGATAAAAGACAAACTGTTCAGTTTGGCCCTAAATTTATTTTAGTTCAACCAGTAAACAGAGGCACGGCATGGACTTTGCTGATTAAAAGAAAAACGAAAAAAACCCTGAAGCTGTGTTTGAGAATGTTGCAAATTGTAACAAGCTTATCACATAGGATTCTGTTTCCTTTTATTTTCAGGTCCTGAGGTAGCTACTGGCTTCAGGCATCCTTATACATACATACATATATATATATATATTACTGTTTCATTCTGGATTGGTTTTATTTTTTTTTCCCTAGGAGGATTTTTTTCTTCCTCTCAAGGTCCTAGAGAGACCTAATAGCCCTGCCCAAAATTTGAGATATTTGCGGCTTACTATGTTGTTCCTTGTTTCACTGCTTATGTCCTTTCTGTCTAGGCAGACCTACCTCTGCAAACCTTTGCTTATTCAAGTGCTCTTGGTGTGAGTGATCAGTCAATGGAACTCTGCATGTGTGATGAGTAAGCACACAGGTGAGGATTTCCAGGAGGTGGCTGCAAGTATATTGCATATCTTCACATTCTCTTCACTATTTTTGATCTCTTATGTACTTTTTTTTTCTGTTCTCCATGTGTTGAGTGTACTTCAAGCAGCATTGCTCTGTACTACAGAAGGCAACACAAAGTCAGTAACCAGTTTCTGGTCATTAACTTCAGCTACCTCAAGAAGTGCCTTTTTTTAGTGTGATTGCTACTATTAAAAGCAGTATAAATTTATTGCAACAATAAACTGGCTTTTATTATATCATAATTTTCAGTAGTTACACTAGTACAAGATCTCAAAGGAGAATTTGGAGGTGGGAATTTCCTTGCCATGAGTCATTTCTCAAGTTACTACAGTCACATCCATTAACAGCTTGAGGGTTTAGAATTTTTATGTTCTAGATTTTCCCAAAATTAGAAAACTACAAAGTTTCAAGCTTGCTGGGCCTGAAACAGCTGTTTCTAGAATAAGTATGTTCTTCACTGATTTCTGATGGAAAGCTTGTATCTGTGTGTGGCAACAGCATCTGACTTCAGATGACAAAACGTTGAAAAATCCCCAGCTGAAATTCATGCAGCCAGACTGAGTGGTCAGATATGATGGGTTAGATCAGTCATTGTAATCACCAAGAAGTGAGAAAATGCTGGTGGAAAGTCTAGTCAGCATGGAAATTTAATATAGCACACATAAGCTTGGTATCAACAGCTACACTGATCAAAGATGTTTTTTCTCTGTTTTTCCATTTGTGGGTTCTGTTGTACTAGCTGACTACAGGAGTTAAGCACAGATTAAAATGAACACAGGCTAAGAGGAGGTCAGAAAAACATAATCATCCTCTGAGGTTTTGCCATTGAATATGACTGAAGTTCTTGTCTGTGAAAAAAAGTCACTGAGCCAAGTGTTGTGAAGTCTGCTATTTTCTGAGGCAGCAAGATCTCTTCTTTTGACACTAACTTACCTATCAACTTCCTGCACGTGTTATCTAGAAGAAAATTGTTAATAATATCTTTTCTACTCCTTTAAAAAAGAAGTTAGTTCTGGAAGGGCAGAACTGGCCTCTTAACATCCAAGATAAATTTGGCTCCAGATTCGGAGGCATCAAAGTGGGCTGGATCCCATTTAAAACAAGTTTTCTTGTGATTTAGGTTGGAAGCTGCAACCACCGAGAGCTTGTCTAGGCAGTAGGTGGCAGACTGCTCCCAGTAATCTGCAGGAAGTTGTGACTCAGCCTTTCTTCGTGCCGACCGGGCTGTAGCTTAAGGTGATGTAAAAAGAGATGTAAAGATGGAGAGATTCCTAGGGTTCAAGAAGTCTACCTGCTTTCATAGAGCATGCCGGGGATTCTCCGGTCAGCAGAGAGGGAGATGTTGCTTCTACACACCCTGTATTATCAGTTCCTAAAGTAACTGTGGCAGTTTACCCTGCCCTGCAGCAGCTGGGTGACCTTGGTCTTGTTTTGAAATACTTGCCACTGTTGATACCGAGTTAACACTCTTATGGCTTTGACATCTCTACAAATTATTATGCTTGTAGGTTTGTTGCTGCT